CTGCTCCCCGAGCAAGCAGTCTTACTTGTAATTTCTCATGACGTTACTCCACAAAAAGCATGGCCTACAACAGTAATGCTGAAGAAGTATTTTAAGAAAATCTAAAGTCTTGGCATAAGGGAAGTTCTGTGCATGTCTACTAACAGCAGCACTTTTAAGGTATGTCTACCAAGTTAGTTCTAAATACTCTGACAGAAGCAAACAGCAATCTCCTTAAAATACACTAACTATAAAGTTGCAACATTTTTGTTTCAAATACACTTTTCATAACAATGTGTTTTTGTTTTTCTTTTTTTACTAAAAATCCACTGCAAAGGTGAGTAGGCTGTTTTCTTCCCTTTAGAACTAAAAAGTCCTGAATTTCTCAGCTAAAACGAACTACTTTGCACTACGTAACATTTATTTGGACTTTTCTGGTATACTCTGCTACGAGTCTTAACAAATTTGTTCCTCATTTTTAAAGAGCTGTTTCTGACACACCACAAAGAATGCCAGAGTTTAAAATTGTCAGGAATCCTACAGAGAGTTAACTATTCTGTTTGGCTTTTCCTCATCAAGGCAGCCCAGAATTTTTCCTACCTACTGATCTTGATCCAAAAGTCACCAAATGCAGAAGAAAGCGAGGTCAGAAATTAGTCTTGAGGATACTCATCCAGATTTCCTTCTGTATCACCTAAAGCAGATGTTTTTATTTGCTAACTAAAGTTTAAAGCAATATACAAAAGGTGAAACAGAGCCATGTGCTCACATGTCAATAGAATAAGCTGTTATATTGCCAAAGGTAAGTCAGAGTACCAAGCCAGAGTTGCCAAGCACAGGCAACATAAATATCCACACAACACAGGAACTCTCCAAACACCACCACAACAACTCTTCTGAGAGGGTGATCTTAGAAGGCAAGCAGGGTTTTAACAGGTATTTGTGAAATACCACACAACTTTAATAGCAATCTGCAGGCCTGCGAGCAGAATAATCCGCTTCTTGTCTTTCATACAGCAAGTCTAGCTTGTTATCAATGAAATTCCCTGCACGAAATTCCATGCAAGTTTTAACACCTGAGAGATTTAGAAATCTAAAGAAAGGAATGTCAGTGGAAGAGAATTACTTTTAAAGTTGTGCTTTGTGTAAGCTTCCACTTACAACATAGGTAACTATTAAAAGTTTCTCTGAATTAGCATGTCAAAAGTTATAGCAAATATAGTAAGGATTACCCTAACAGTTGTTTCTGTAACAAGTAACGCAGAAAGATCAAAAACACTAGGAAGAGATGCCTCTCCTCTAAGGACTTAAGAGGACACACAAGAACTTCCTGAAATCTCCAAAGATTTTTTTTTCCACTGCATCAACCACTCCCCAGACAAATTATTGTAGCAGAAACAGTGAGAGCAACTTAACTGCCACCTATTTCAGATCACAACCTTAAGCAGCACCTGTACTAGGTGACCTCATCTTTCAGACAGTATGCCAGACCTCAGAGTAACACCTACTGACCTTAGCAGCAACTTTCCATGAGAAATAACTTCAGAACCAACTCCCAGAAGTGCCCATAGACACTTGAGGTTCTGAGTAACATCACAAAACAAAAACAAAGCAGGAAGAGATATCCAAATCTTTAGGGTAAAGAGAACCCTAGGATGCGGACAGAAGTCATATTTGCCCTTTTCCTGACAAAATACTACGCTGACTCGACAAGAAGTTGACACAATCCCCTTGCATTGTGAAGGCAGGTGAAGGACAACACACAGTGAGATCCACATGAATGAACTTATTAGTACAAAGCCTAAACGGACCTTTCTTTTCATATACAATGCTGTCATGGACAGCAAGCACATGTGTGCTTACACAGCAGCTGGTCTCCTATATGATCTGAGTCATTTATTTCAAGAGCTTACAATGCTTTGGGAAAAGCCCCATAGATATTCATCTGCATTTTAGATAACCAAGTGTCTAGAAAAATCTTACCTCAAGTAACCATATATGGGTTAGATTTAGAAGAATGAGCCTAATTCAAGTTTGTCTTTGAACACAGTCTATCCCCTATGCAGAAAAAGTACTTTATAGCTATTTAATAGTTCTGAGTAAGAAAACACTTGAACATTGTCATTTACGTCATGCATAATCCCCTTCTAAAGTTTTCTGCTTATCGCTTCTCATCTATACTACTTCACCTAGCCTAAATCCAACTCCAGTGCCTTGTTCTAAGCCTCCCCCATCACAAGCATCTCCTCTGCTCTCACACTACAGCCTGACAAATCTAAGTGCCAATATTAGCTGCAGTTGGTGATGAATGTTTTTCCGTGTGCCACACTAAGGATACTACCTTATTTTGATTGAATTTCATTTTAGATGAACAACAATTAAAACACCCAACACTAAGCTCACTGCATACCACTTCCTGCAAGAGAAAAAAAAGCAGTTGTTTATATCTTTGTGCTGCTATCTTTTTTATTTTCTCACTGTAACCATGAGTAACTGGTCATTCTGGAGGTACGTATAGTCCAACACAACTGAATCCCAGACCCGTTTACAATAGCAGTCTGAAGTTGAAAATAACTGAGTTTTTCATAGTCACACCACTCACAGCCAATGGAATCTTTCTTACAGCCACCTAACAGACAGCAATGAAAACTGTATCCAACTACCTAACTGAAAGTTTGTTCCTTGAGCTATACTATTATTAAAGCATACCAATCAGTTCTGCTTCTATGAAGAAAACACACCATACACCCACATAAGTGCAAGAAACAAAGGATTCATTCTGATGATATTTAACAAAGCTTTGGGAAGCATCTAACAGAAGACAGGCTTCCTTCCCTTTCCAGTAGGTACCAGTTCATTTTAGCCTATCTTGTCTGTTTCTTGTCAGTTCTAGGGGCCCACCGTGTTTTCGTCACATACACCCAATTCCACAACTCCAATTCAATGAGTGTGTGCTAAGAGTATGAGCAAGGTAATTCCCTGCTCATTACCACATTTTTCTGAAGTGTCCCATTCTTCTTCCTGTCAAAGGAGCTAGCTACAAGAACCGCTGTTTGCTTCTTCCAACGCATCCTACTGCCCCTGTTCATGTCACTAGCCCAGAGCTGCAAGGAAAGAGGATAGATGTTCTGGCAGTGGCACTCATGTTTCAAACCCTCAGGAAATCCACCTTCAAGAGTTCTGCTGAAAAGAGAACGAATAGAAAGAAGCAGGCCAAGGACTGCCTTAATTGAACTAAGGAGCAACGCTGGACCACCAAGCCTTTGGCTGGGCAGCCAGAACAAAGCAAGGAGAACTTTCCCTGCCTAGCAGTTCCAGCCCTGTTAACTTTGTAAGAACAATATGCTCAAGACAGCGATCCCGTATGTTCGGTAGGGAAGTTCACACATTCAAAACAGAAGCTTTTTTTTCCCCCAGACTACATTTTCACAGCAGACTTCTTTTCACAGCATTATTGCTATCTGCATAGCTGAGACATTCAGCTTTACCAATCAGCATGACAGACGAGTTTTAACCACTGAATGTGAGTTTGGAAGTTTACCCTAGTATGCTGGAATCCCCTATTAAAATTATCAGATTTTAAGACTAGAAAAAAAAACTGATATGTATTTGTGGAATTATACAGCTTATCAGTACATAAAAACATTTATGTACGTCTCTAGCAATTATGGTCGGAAGTTAGTAACAGAATATCAGGATGAATGGTCCCAGTCACTGTATCTAATCTGAGCCCACCTTACGTTCAGCACCTTCCCCAAGCCAGGACTGACCAGCAGGTACTAAGAGCCACGTGAACAAGCAAAGAAACTATGACAAATGCTCTCGTCTTTACTGCTATCGTCTCCTAAACACCAAACCGGGGGGAGAGGGAACACAGAGAGGTAAAGAGTGCAGAACAGAATTAAAACCTATTCTGCTATTATAATGTAATGAATAAGGCTTGAAAGGGGAAAAAAAAAAAACACACTGCTAATTGTACCCTGTAACATCTAGCAGATCCCAAACTACCAGTAGGATCACTCCATACAAGGCACAATGTTCATGTCCACACGTGGGTATATACATCCCCTACGCTGTCTATACAAATATTTATATGCACCCCACATACCTTACTCAATCATTTCAAGAGCAATGCAAGTTCCCCAGGAACCTTCTAATGCTCTCACATCCCAAAACCAGTTTTTCACATGTTTTTTCATTGCTCCTGATGAGACAGCAACAGCCTGATTTTCTTTCTGGTATAAGAGTCTCCACTGACCATTTCAGAGCAGCCACAAATTGAATTAGCATGAATCACCACCCTTAGGTGGTACAATTCCATTTTCGTATGCTTTGTAAATAGAAAAAAGGTAGTTTCTAAATCCATTCCAGTCAGTTGCTTCCTTGAGAAGCCCCCAGAGAGTTTGGGATTTAAAAATGCTCTGAAATTCAAACTAAAGCACAACATTATTTTGTGTATGGTCATATTCTAAATATAGAAAAAAAGCACATTAGAAAACAACACGTAGTACGTCTAGCATTCACCACACAGAGTTTCTTGGAGCGTTTAACGAAAATCTGAGCCTAGCATCCTTCTCAAGCCCCAGCACACAACCTGCCTCACTGCCAAACTATATCTAAATCTTAGCCTTGCCGAAATCCCAGGTATCCCAATGTGCATGCTTACTTCTTTCAGATTATGGAATAGATAAGTAAGGCATTATGCTATTAACCATGTATCCTATACACTGAAGAAAACGTGAAATCACTTTGTGAAGAAAACATGCTAGAAAACAGGGTATCAATAGATCACGGCAGGGAATAGCCAGGGTTTGAATTTATCCCCAGACGTCTAGCAATCTTTACTATATTGCTTAAGGAAAGCCAGTCAACTTCTCTGTGCTCCATCCTACAGGGGAAGTTTACGGCAAAGTGGAACCCAGAACTGCTCAGCAGGGTATGCCTGGAAATGCAGAGTTGAATTAACAGCAGTACATCCAGTTGCAGACAGAAACTGCCCTTACCCTTGACCTAATACTTACTGTTGACTCCCACATCCTCAGCTACGCCAGAACCTCTCATTCTCAGGTATGTGAATCCCAGTATCAGAAAGAACAAGCATGCAGCAGTTAAGAGGAACATGGACAGGTAATGTGCACTGAAGCCTCCAGTGGTGGATACCTCCTCTCTTTTGAACTGTTGGAGAAGCTCCTCCTCGGGCTCTGAGAGATTCTTCTTGTAGGTGTTTTTCAGGTAGGTATGATTCGAACCCGTATGATTGGAGTGGTTGAGTCTAAGGGAGGAGATGATGCCACCCGGGGGGAGGCTGTTGGTTGCTGAATAGATCCTGGACTCCACGTTATAGCTACCAGCCGTGCTGCCGAGGACATGATTGTTGCTCGTTTTCCTAACGGCGCCCGGAGGCTCGGCGATTTTACCGCTGCCGTCCACGTCTGCGATCGGCGGCGGCAGCAACAACGCCGTAGGGGATTTCTTCGAGAGGCCGAGGCGGTACCGAGGGCCGGGAGGGCTCGAGTCCAGATTCTCGCATCCTCCTCCTCCTCCTCCCCCCACGGCCGCCGCCTCCTCATGGTTCCTGCCCCTGTCTAGACTCCCGGCAGCCGCCTCCGCCGCCGCCCTGTCATTCGTTACGGCTACCCCGGCCCCGCAGCCTCCTCCAGCCCTCTCTTGGCCCGTCTCCATCACGCCAGCGCCGGCCGCGGCGCATTTGCTCGCTATGAATGGAGCCGGAGCCCTGCCGAGGCTCCGTCTGGGCCGGCGAGCCGCGGCCGGCTCCTCCTTGTGTACCTGCTGCCTGCCCCGAGCCCCCTCCTCCTCCTCCTCCTCCTCCGAGTCGGAGTACTTGTCCCTGCCGCCGTAAGCCAGCAGCCGGCTGCCGTTCACCGCCCGGTTCTTCCAGCGCTGCTGCTGCTCGCCCTCCTCCTCCTCCTCTTCCTCCTCCTCCTCCTGCTGCTGCTGCTGCTGCCGGCCGCCTGCCGCGGGCTCCCCGCCTCCCTGAGGCGCCGCCGCCGCTCTGCGGGCCGCCGCCGCCCCCCACCAGGCGCTGCCCTTCCTCCGCGCCGCCTCCTCGGCCGCCGGGGGGGCGCCGGGCCTGGGGCCGCGGCCGAGGGGCGCAGCCCGCTCCCTCCTGCCGCCCGCCGGGCCCCGCGGGCCGGCCTCGGCGTCCGACTCGTCCGAGCTGAAGCCCAGCAGCACCTTCCCGGCCCCGGCCCCGGCCGCGGTGCCCCTCAGGTAGGGGCGCTCTCCCAGCCGCGCCGCCGCTCCGCCCGCCGCCGCCGCCGCCGCCTTGTTGCTGCCGCTGCTGCCGTTGCGCGGCTTGCCCGCCCGCTCCTCCTCGCGCAGCTTCTTCAGCTTCTTGAGGTAGACGGGCCGCGTGCTCTCCGTCACCAGCCCCGGCGAGAGCCCGAAGCGCCGCAGCTCGGCGAAGAGCTCCTCGTCCGTCAGCTGCGCGGCCGCCGCCATTTTGCGCTCCCCCGGCCCCCGCCGCCGCCGTTTCCTACCCACGCGCCGCGCTCCCCGCCGGAACTGACGCGTGCGCACTCGGCCGCGGCCTGGGCCCGCCCGGCGGCACCAGGGAGGGAGGAGGGGGCGCGGCGGGGCGGGCCCCGCGCGGGGGGGCGGCGGGGCTCGCACCGACAGCGGGTCCCCGGGGAGGCGGGGAGGGCACCGCAGGGAGCCCGCGGGGTGCTCTCAGCCCCGGCAGCTCAGCCGTGTGCTGGTTGCAGCTCGCCGCGCTGAATGAGCCCCGAAAGCCCCCTGCGCGCCTCTCCCCGGGAGGCTGCCTCGTCCCCGCCATCCCGCTCCTCACCCACCGCTCGGTGAAGTTGCCTCTTGCGGGAGGGCAGGACAGCAAACAAGGATCTGTCCCCTCCTGTGAGGAAATAGACGACGTGCAGAGAAATAAATGTTCTGGGAAGCTGCTTCTTGGCAATTGTCAAGCATCACCCTCATTAGGTTTACAGTTTAGGTTTACAATTCAGGTCTTACAACTATCCGGATGCTTGTGGCTCTTTGGGAAAATATACTCCTTCAAATACAGTGAAAATTAACAATATGAATGCCTCTTTGTCGAGATGATTGTACCCATATGAGGATACGTCATCCCGGCATTTCTCAGAGCATGAGGTGTGTGATGGTTACCCTGGGTTGTCCCTTTGGCTGCAGGCCTCGTGCGGAGACCTCAAAATCTCCTTCTGACCTGCATGCCTCTGTCTCTCCATCCCCAAACGGGAAAAGTTTGGGTTTCCCTACTGATAATCACATCATAAATGCAGCAACCTGAGTTTACATTTCATCCTGACCACAACTGGCCTTTTAACAATATGGGCAGGAGTGGTCCAGAAACAGGATCCAGCTGTAAGCACAGTTACACTTTTCTCCCTCACAGTCTGCCACAGTGAAGGTAATGTGCATGTGCCCTGCTAACATCAAAGCTGAAGTTGCTAACCTCAGTTATTGAGGAACATTTTCAGAGCTGGAGTTGAGGTAGCTGCGTGCTAAACACCAGGCCAGTCTACAGAGCTACAAGAGTAGCTTGAAACTATCTTTCATAATGGTGATGATGAATGGTGATGATTAACCACTGCACCCCACCTGCCATCCGACCTGCCACACCTGGAAACAGAGAACCGATCATCATATTGCTCACCGAAACCTCCTTCAACATTCTGAAGCAGAAGAATATAGAAGGGTCTCTGTTACAGGGGTGCTTTTCATGGTACCGCTGTGCACAACTTCCTGCTTGTAACACCTGCAGAGGAATAATTTCAAATGTTACAGTGCTGTGCCCTTAGAGCAACACGCAGAGCTCCACGTGTAAGGAGGATGACACTTGAAAGAGCTCCATCACACATTAAACCACTAACATAAACGCACCCGCCCTGCCCCACCTTCCCATTGGTAAATAGCTAATTGATATTCCAAACGCCTCTGACATTCCACTCCTCTTCAGGGAGGAGCAACCCAAACCTTCCAGCAGCCACCTGAAATACACATTTGAATACGCACCCCAGGATCACTGCTTACCTCTAACTACATCTGACACTGGCTAAACCACCAGCAGTCAGTCCCAGGTCTGATACCATTAAGACAAGCGCATATCTGGCTAGTGCCCACTCTGGCACCCTTCTTTCATTAGAAGAGCGTATGCTGCCCTAAAAGAGGTGAGGATCCCTTGATCTTACCAATACAACTCATACATTCCATCTTTTTATTACAGCAAGGGCATTCATTAATTTATAAACCTGTTTACATAGCAATAGGAGCGCAGTAAATACTACAAATTGCTAACAAATTAGTCACCTCCTGCAAAACTATAGCGTGTAGATAAACAAATCAGCTGACTGAAAAGTGTGTATATTCCAAGTCATGTTTTAAAATGTCTGCCAAAATATTTTGAAATGTTTCAAAAAATACGTCTTCTGGTTGATATTGAAGTAAGGGTGCTACCAATCCAAAATCTTTGCATTTATTTAATAGCATAGCTTAGTATCGGTATCTCCAGGTAGTAGATCTTTCAGTAGATACTCTTTTAAAGGTAACTTGACTGCAAGGAGTGTAGGGACTGTTCTTCATCAGGAAAAACTGGCTGTTGGTTTCCAAACAAGATATTTTGTATTTTCCGTGTCATCCTTAAGGACTGGGGTTCTAAGGAAACTTCCAGTTCTTGCATCAGGTGAAATTGTGTTCTGCGAGTCAACAACAATGCTTCTATCAACCTCATTGGGCCTGGGGTTTGAAGCAGTGTCTCAGTACCTCTTAAATCTTTCTTTCCCGATTTCACATTTGTGTGATGCTTATGATTTTTCGTAAGTATTGAGAATCTCTCACTGACAGTTTGCCTTTCTACAATTAGCATGTCTCATTGCAACTTGGTGTTTTGCCGATATATCTTTTGCAGATACGCTTTTCTTTCCTGAGGGCATCCTGTTCATGTTCAAAAGCCTTATGCCATCTCTTGCCTTTGGATTGCTGCTTGTTTGTTGCTAAGATGTGGGCACCCACAAGATGTCTAATGCTCATACTTCCCACTTGTTCCGGGCTGTGTGCGTATCACAACAGTGTGAGCACAGCATGCTAGATAACCTTCATCCCCACAAGGCAGCCACGTCTCCATTTGCAGGTCTTGCCCCAGTGTCCCACAGTAGTTCCACTCCCACAAACTGTGTGATAACCTGCTGTGACTGTGCACGTCCTGTCTCTAAAAGTAAACAACCTTAGTTCATAAGTCTGAGACTTCGTAAGACAACAGAATCCCCTCCCACAGGTAATACTTTGCCTTTTATATAACCTACATTCATATATAGGTTATTTATATCTCAGTTGGGTATTAATCTATGACCAGGATCTGTAATTCCTGGCACACTTTATTATGGCTCTATTCCTGTCCTTTAATGGGACTGCTGGAGGCATTACTGCTGACTGTGTTTTGAACAAAATACCACCCTTAAGAATGGCTTTTAAAAGTTGTATTTATTTTTAAAAGGGGGCTTTATTTACACTCGGGGCTTTCATTAAAATTTGCTTTGTGTGTTCAATACTTTCCTCAGGAACCAGAATGGCTAGGTATATTTATTTTAAAACTTGAACCCAAACTGTCCAGCTCCCCAGCAACTGAGTTTAAAGAAGAATGCCAGATATTATATGACAGGAGATTTCACAAAAGAGTGACAAAGAAGTTATAAGAAAATAAATAAGAATATAGGGAAACCAAGCCAAATCAAACCAAAACCAAAAGATACATGGGCTTTAGGAATAAAATAAAGAAAAAATGGTGGCTTTCATCTGATGTATATTATGGTAGTCAATTTTTACCTTCTAGCCTCTTCTTTTGGGAAGCTACCAGAAACATTGTAGTTGTCACAGAGGCAGTTAAATGGTTGAGGGGTCCACCCTGAGTTATTCACAATGAAAGGATAAATTTCGTATGGTATCAAAATGGCAGTCAGCTGCTGGTCCCTAAAGCCTTCTTGCCCTGTTCACAAAGTAGTTGTTGCAAGAAGACTACTGTAAGAGACAGTTAAGGTGGGTGACAAATCAGTTGTATCACTCATTCTCTAAATTATTGCTGCAGATTGCCTCCAGAGTATTTCATTTAAATCTGAAAAGGAAAAAGTGAAGCTTTGTTTGGAGGTCAGACAGAGTGTTTTTCAGATTGGTTGCCTACTCCCAGCATACAGAAACTCTGGCTAGGTATAACACTCATTTGTGATCCAGAATTGGCAGAGTTATTTTTACACATATATGATGCCCTACTAGCATAGTTGTGGCCAAACTTCCCGACAATACACTGTTCAGGGTTTTGAGCATTTACTTTCCTTTTATTAGGTACCCCTTGCAAAAGCTTGCTTTCAAGGACAGAGGAAGGATAAAAGCTAGAGATGCACCCTTAACCTCAGGAGGATATTGGGAAGGGATCCCATCAGTCTGAAATCAACAGAACAATGAAAAGCAGAGAAGTTTCATTTCCTACGCTCCTGTACCTTTCTTTCTAAAGGACAATAGCTGTCTGCACCGTGTAGGATGCAGACGTGTTGAACAGACGTGAGGAGATTTTTGATGATATCCTAAACAACCTTTGATATAGGTGTAGACATGGCACTTTAGTCTGGGACCTCGATAGTGTTTGGCAGCAACACAAAGAACAGTGTAGTCATAGCCATAAAGAGCTCGCTGTTTACGATTCTATCCTTGACTTTGATCCAATGCTAACGTCTTGAAAACTTACGTTTATTTCATTCATGTAATAACATTTAGAAGAAGCGCCATCATTCATGGAACAGAAGAAATGAAGTTTTCTTTTTACATTTTCATTTTAAGGCTAATTGTGTAATACATTTTTCTTGCCACAAGGCTCTGCTTTCAATTTGTTCAATGAATAAGCAGAGGACCAAATTCAGTGTGTTCCGAAGAATTATTAGCCCTACTATCTATGCAATTTTAGCTCATGGAGACTTCACCCAGTTCCATTGCTTTCTTGTACTATACAAAGATGAGAGCAAGTATTCCCTGTCTCATGAATGCACACTTACCTCCATGACCTCCCGTCAGAACTGCATGCAAGATCCATAGGCAGGAAGCCAGCAGCCCTTAGAAAATCCCATGTGTCCATGGAAGCACTTTACATCTCTGCAGCACAGGCTGCCACAATTGTATCGGTATCTCCTGCTCTCAGCTTCTTACTGAGTATTGAATCAATCCTTTTGTTGCTAGTGCTCAGTGGTATGGGCCTTGCATATTTAAAAGATTTCCTTAAGCTGTGCAATTTTCTCTGTCAATAACTTCACCCACTTAGAACATTTCTCCCATAGCGGGAAAAAGAAATTCCATAAGAACAGCTCACAGGCAATGGGAACAAAGTCCCTCTGGCTCTAAGGTCTGCTGTTTCCTACTCCAAGTATATGTATATGCTGCATTTCTATGACTTCACTTTTGTTTGCTCTCATAAAAATCAAGAACATTTAGGGAGTGTTCATGACAAATGAACGTTTGCCTCCAGGTAGGTAGGTTATACACATCTGCACTCTAAAGTCAACTGGTCCTACCTGAACCAAAGCTGCCGTGTCACACACCATGGGAGTTTTCAGCATGCACTACGTGCTCCGTTTGCCTGCCACATGTAGATGATACTGTTGCATTCATTTACCCTCTGTGAGAATGATACACTGAAGTTTTTCCTTCATCACTGCTCACCCACAAACTTCATGTCCCCCGCAAACGATGCCGCTAATCAATTCTGCCCCACTGCTTCAGCT